TTTCATCTGTATTTGTATTTACAACTGCAGGAAGGCAAAGATGTGGTCTTTTTAGCTTTGCACTGCCAACAAAGATTTATTTAAGAATTTTGTGGTGATATAAACTAATTGAAGATCCTCCTTAATAGCAACTGTGGTTGATTGTACAAAACATTTCATACCCCCTCTGCTTTCCACCTATTTAAATGCTGCTCAGGAGGCTACAGGCATACCACAACAGTACTGACTGACCTACTTTATTCTAGTGGAACTCACATTATTAGCAGTATACTCCTGAGCTATGAATTGTAGTTACGGGTGCCATGTTTTTCTAAGAAGTGAGATGTGTGCTCTGGTGATTATCATTGTATTTAGTGTTAGAGACCTTTGAATTTCTGGGGTGGGGTAAAGAATGGACTATGGGCAGCCCCTTTCTGGTCAACTTGGATTTTACCTCAATATTCCACTTTGTAGGATCAGTTCTTTCCCAAGAGCTTCTTTGGGACCATAGAAAAAATACACCGTGGCTCCTGCCCCATTAGTTTTCCTGATATGCTGCGCATGTCTGTGTCCCGGCTATGGACACAGAATAAACGCAAGCTGATATCCCTTCTATGTTTATTCCTAAGTTACTCATTTAGGGTCATTCCACTGATAATATGTATAGAAGTATTTTTAAGACATGAAATGACTCCAGACAAATACGATAAATCCCCACCTTACCCCTTATCTCTACTTTTTCTCTCTCCTGGTGAATGTTCCTACTCCCAGGGCCTTTACCTCCAGCGATCGGTCTCACCCACTCGTTCTTCAGCTTCCTTCCTGTCCCTCCGGATGCGCGGAGGGCTTCTTGCTCTTCGTCTGGCTTCTGCTCCTCTTGCTTGAGACAGCACCGTCCCGTTTCTGTGTCATCACCGTCTCCCACTGCTGGCTTATTACCGCCACCCTGTGAATACTCTGCATCGTGCTCATATGGTAAAACTCGTCCTTCTTATCCTTGAAAGATTTGCCTGTCATCAGTCCCTACTTCCCCTCTGTCATTGTCTTTTAAGCCTAGTCCTACCTCAGTCAACCTCCCAAGGACCCTAGTGTAGCTAAATTCTGTTACCCGTTTTTAGTCCTCATCTTACCTGCCACGCTGGCGGTATTCGGCAGACCGGAAGGTCTTCTTTCCTGGAATACTCTATTTTGGTTCTCCTCGCCCTTGGATTCTCTCTCACCCTTTCAGTCTCCTTTTTCTGACCCCGTACACCTGGATCTCAGTGCTCTGAGCCTGTTATGTCTAACTCTCACTTAGTGATCTCATTTGCTTGCCTGACTTTAATGATCCCCAAATATATATCTCTAGCTTAGACCTCTCCCGGGTGAAGACTCCCGTACCTAGCCCCAAACACATTTTTTGGTGCGAAGTAGAAAAAGCTGTGCATTTCTGCAAGCACTTGACTGCCACCTTCTGGAGAGCTTTTGGAGTAAACAGACGCCTGGTAGATGACACTGAAAGTGAGCGCTGAAGGTGAATGGTTTCTGTCACAGGCGCGCAATTGTCGTTAGCAGCAAAATGTTCCTCCGCATGGGTGGGAAACTCTTTTTTCAGATTGTAAAGCCATGTAGGAGGAGAAGATTTAAAAAGGCATGAGGGTTTGACAGACACACCCATCCTTTCTTAAAACACTGGGCATCACAAGTTCAGTAGGTCCCAAACCCATCTCCTGACTCTCCATCCCCATCCCACGCTGTCCCAGCTTCTTTTCTTCTGTGTTTTCTATTTCAGAATTCCTCAGGTAGCTTGAGTCAAACTCCTCAAAGTTACCGTCGACGCCTCTCCCCACACCCCAGCGTGAACCCGTCAGTAAATCCTGTTTATCTTCCCTTCAAAATACATTCGAATCTCACCGCTTCCCAGCCCCAGGTTTGTGGCCGCGCTGGTACAAGCCCCAGCCTCCCTCCCCTGGGTGATTCCAATCGCAAGCTTCCTCTCTCCTTCTCCCTTGTCTGCCTGCCATAGCGCAGCCAGCGTTATTCATGCCAGAGCTAGGTCCCAGGTGTTTCTCCGCTACCCCAAACCCTCCACATAGTCTCCCGTCTCACCCAGAGTGAAAACCAGTGCCCTTGAAACAGCCCACCCGCGCCCACGTCTGCCCCACATTTCCAGCCATGGTCAGCTTCCTCGTTCTTGCTCAACCTGCCCGGCACACATCTGCGCCAGGCACTCTGCCTGCGTGCTTTTACCTACAGTGTGGCTTGCTCCCTCTTTTGCTTGAGTCACTGTTTCAGACAACGCTATCTCCTATTAGAGAAACCTTCCTCAACCCAACTAAAACAGCAATGTTCCCTCCCCTCAAAGCGCTTGCCATCCCCCACTGTTTTAGTGGGCTGTCCACAGCACTTAGCATCTGGCCCGCACACACGCCTTGTGCCCCCTTTTCCTCATTAGAATTTCACCTACGTGAGACTGAAGACTTCTTTCTTTCCCTCTCCTATATTCATGTCTAAAACAAGGCTTGCCAAATAGAAGGGTCTTAATGAATGTTAAATACAGGAATACAGGCATCCCTGAATCTGTCAGTGGAACCTGTCCTCAAAAAGACTAAAAGGTCTGAGATGGTCCTGAATAATAAAAATCTTTCAATTCCAAGAATAAAAGCATTTTTCAGGCGTCTAGGAACTAATTTAAATCTAATTTGAAAATTGTGTCGATCTTACAACCTTCAGAAAGGGCTTTACTTTCCTACAGAGAAAGCAAGCAGGCGCCATCTAGTGGTAACAAAAAAGCCCACATTTGTGTTCTTGAGTATTAATAATTAAAATTTGTCCTTGATCCAGAAGCTTATCACAGAAATAATTATGATCGCCCGTACATCTTCAAGTGCGTGTTTTCCACAGAATACACTGAATTAGAAAATGTAGCCTCAATTTTTTTCTAAATTATTTCCGACTCGTTTTCCTTATTTTTTTTTAATTTTTAATTTTTAATTTCTGGAATCTGTCTCTTTTCCCCCCTTTTCATTTTTCTTACATTTTGTACTCTTTTCCTCTGAACTCTTACATGAAGGCTCTAACTTCTGGGGGCTTATACTGTAATAAAAATGGAACCCGGGAGGGGAAGTGTGTGGTAAAACCCTGTTGAATGATACAGTGATCTCTTCCAGCTATGCTTCCAGTTGAAGCTTCACCGTTTCCTTAGAAGAATGAACTTTGAAGCGATTTAACCTTCTGTTTTTCAGAAAATGGCACAGATCATGATATAGAGGAACTGAGGCCGAGAGAGACATATTCATTGGCAAGAAAGTCAGAAATTAAGTTTGTCTGTCATTCTAACATTTGAAAAGCTAGGCCGTTTCCGTACGTTGGTAAAATCCGCAGTCCTCGTTGGGGGTCTTTGACCTTTTCAGTCCCCAGTTGCTGGGGTGGAGCTGGAAAGTCTTTGCCCCAGGTAAGCCTGAGCTTTGATCCCACAAATGAAGAAAGGGGGCAAGAGTCCCAGGAAGGAGATGAACTCTGGTTGTTGACACTCCAGGTAGTGCCTGGCCTTTGCTCTGGAAGGAGGTTGTCTGAGTATTGCTAGGCATAAGAGTTGGACCAATAGAATGACACAAAATAGATTTCTTATCAACATAAAGAAACATTTTCCAGTAAGATTTATTTTTCCTCAAAGTGGAAATCAAAACCTCAACTCCGCATCAGTGGATGAATCCAAGCAGAGGCGGGGCGGGGGGGGGGGAATGGCCTGATAAGGATTTGTTGAAATTATTAAGATTCTCTGGTTTTCTGAAAGATTCTTCATTCTCCCTATATAGGTTCACATCCCAGCCCCCCTTTATTATTCAGTTCATGTCCCTCTTCCTGTTTTGGGCAGTGAAGCTTGAAGCCATCTCTTCTATCATGCCCTTTCCTATCACTTTAAGTGCAGCTCAGTTTATTTCACACTGTGTTTTCTCCCCTGAGGTATAAGCTTAAGCTCTCCATGTGAGTGCTAAGCTACTTGAGATAGGAGATTATATCTTATTGCTGTCTCTGCTCCCCACTCCTCAGCCTTGCCATGTTGCCTTCAAGGGTAAACATGCAAGGGTATGGCGGGGAACGCAGAAGCTACCAGTAGTGTCTTCCCCTGGCATCCTGGCCCAAGGTGCTTAGCCTTAGTCTAAGTTTGGTGGAGCAGTTCTTCAGCTAGGTATTGCACAAACCTAAATATTTGTTTAGATTTGTTTCCTTATTGAAACTATATCAACGTTTTCATCTAACTGTACTAGTGTTCCTTTTGAATTGTGTTATCTTTTCATTTACTTGATATCTGTGGAGTAGTTCTCATGATAATATAGTTAATAGGATTTTACTGATATGAAAAAAAAAAACCGTAGTTTTCTATTATTTATGTGGTTGTTTTAGGGTTTAACTTTCTGCCTAGGTACTGATTTTTTTTCTCGGATTGCAAGTATTTTCCATGGTATATTAATGTGCCTCTTTTTTTCTTCATAAAATATCTAATTACACAAGTCGGTGTGGTATTTGTAATAACATGTTCTTAAGTCAAAATACTCCATATCTCATTTCTTCTTAAATAATGAAGCAGATGTTATTTCTAAATTGTTTCACCTGCTGAAGATGTATTTAAGTGACTTAGTATTTCATCCTAATGAAATGGGTACTTTAAAAAGAGAGATGCAAACAGGATTGTTGGGTAGAGTTTGCATGTACCCCAGATGTAATTTCTTTAACAATCAGGCACTATTGTTTGTTTTATTATTGAGACAGCCACAGTTCTTTTACAATTATTTAATAGCCTGGATGGTTTAAGAATTTCTTGTAGTACTACCTGAAAATTAGCAAGTTTATCAGTCATAGCATTTGCACCATTTAATATTTCTAGAGTTTTAATAATGATCTTTGGGAGCTGGTGTGTTCTCTATATGATGGCTGAGGGACAATATTGAATATTTTGACTTGTAGCTATAGAAATATTATGCCCCTATAATTATGGCACATATGCATACATCTAGATTGTATTAATTTGTGTTTTTCAGAATATGCCGAATTTCTACATTGCAAAGGAAAAAAATTTACAGATTTTGATGAAGTTCGCCATGAGATTGAAGCGGAAACAGATAGAGTGACTGGAATGAACAAAGGCATTTCTCCTATACCTATTAACTTACGAGTTTATTCCCCTCATGGTAAGTAAAATTGTAAAACTCCAAATCTTCTTCTCAAACATTTTTACTAGGTTAGTTAGGATACATTACTTACATAGAAGCTACAAACAGTGTTGAGTTTCCAGGCTAATGTTTGGGTGCTGCCGTAAATGGCATGTTTCAGAGGGCTCTTCGAGTATTTATGGGGAGACAGGTGAGATGACTTTTTAAAAACTCAGAATTCAGGTAGGCATTTAAAAACAGAAAGGTTTGTGCTAATATCATTTGGAGAATTTTTTATGCCCATATCTTGTACTCTGAGTAACTACTTTGAAAATAACAATACACTGTGTATTAACTATTGCTATTCCCCTGTAATTTTTTTTGATAAAATAAAAAAAAATCTTTTTTCTAATAAACTTTCAGAATTTGAAGGGAATACACATGAAAATTTCCGTTTTTATGATCTTCAATCTTTGCAGAAATCTTCGAAGTATGTGGGTTGAGGCTTCCCTTGTTGATTTCCTGGCGTCCCTGTATATTTTTATTTATTTTCTTCCTGTGATTTTTTTGTTTTTGTTTTTGAGACAAGGTCTCGCTCTGTAAGTCAGACTGGCCTTGAACTCATTATCTAGCCCAGGGTGGCCTCAAACTTGTGGCAGTTATGCCTCAGCCTCCCAAGTGGTAGGATTACAGGCATGTGCCATCATGCCTGGCACAACAGTTTTTATCCCTACACTACATACAGAAACTTATAAATTAGATCCCTAGTTCATGATATGTGATAGGAAATAACTTTTATTCTTACTAGACTTTTAGTAGGTCAGAACTTTGTTTCTAGTTCTCTTGTCCAGCTCTTTGCTTTTAGAGCAGAGTGTGGATGACATAAGCTCAATTAGGACTCCTCTTTGGTGCCACCATTGAGAGGGTGACAGCCAGGCTGTCATTGCCTTTGTCTGTATATTCCACTCACTACACTCAGGGCCGCACCGGTGGTAAGAGCTTTCCAGTAAGCTAAGTGGTTAACCTGCTACAGAGAACATGATGTTTTCAAAGGAAGGCCAAATTGTACCCTGAGAATTTTTATACCATTTGAAGGTACTGTACAAGACTGGCAGACAGCACACGCATTTATTGTTTGATGTTTTAATTATAATCCTCTCATTATGACAGCTAGGATATGACAGCTCTCTCAGGAAACTGTTAGGCATGCTACTCAGGGCCTTTCAAATTATGTTAAAATGATCATTTGGCATAGCACAGTCATATAAAAATAGAGAACACCAGCAAAACCATTTTGTATCCTGTGCTTTTTATTCTACACATTTGGGTAGGAGTCATTCAGATGCACCGTGCAGAAAGCTGAGCTAAGTGACAGATGAATCTGCAAAATACATGTCTTTTAGTGTTGAAGAGGTAAGTAACTCTACTCCTTTCTACACAGTGCTAAATCTAACCCTTATCGACCTACCTGGAATAACTAAAGTTCCCGTGGGAGATCAGCCACCAGATATTGAATATCAGATCCGAGAAATGATTATGCAATTCATCACAAGGGAGAACTGTCTGATTTTGGCCGTTACCCCAGCCAACACCGACCTTGCAAACTCAGATGCACTGAAGCTAGCTAAAGACGTTGATCCCCAAGGTGAGTGTGTGGCCTTCAAGATGACAGGGAATTATTTTACAATATCTAAGGTTTTGGTATATGGAAAGGGTGCACAGACGTTCGCATCTTGAGTTCATTATGAACAAAATTCAACATGGTTGTTGTTGGTAAACATTATGCACTTAAGACACTGAAAGAAAGACAATTAGGGAATATGGTTAAAATCTGTACAAATAACTGTAATTAAGATATACAAGAGATCTAAGAAAATAGACATTTCTAGGCCACATGGCCTATTTATATTTCAAAGTCAGTAAAAGAAAGTTCTAGTCCAACAGAACTAGTTAATTTAGCTATTACGCGGTACCTGAAGATACTCTCAAGGAAGAGGCTTTCTGAGGTTTGTTTGCTTCTTTAAGTAGGGTGCTGCTTTAGTTTAGTTGAGTTTAGTTTAGTTCACATAAGCTATAATGGAGGAATTATTCCTTTGAGAGAGCACTTGCTGCTGTGCCGGCCATTCTCATCTGCCTCCTTATTGTCAGTCTCTACCTAGCACCTGGCTGCAGGCCTGAAACCCTCTAAGCCAAGTCAAAGACAATCTTCTTTCCATCCTACTGCTGCCCCAATGCACTTGAGGCTTTTCACTTACAGTTAACCTAGCAATTTACAGACAAACCTTTTTAATTTTCATGACACATTATTTAAATATTCAAAATAAAATCTATTAGAATTTTAGTTTTTAAGTGTTATCAAGGCTTAGGCCAGGCATGGTGGTGCACGCTTGGAGTCCCAGCACTTGGAAGACTGAAGCAGGAGGACTGCAATGAGTTCGAGGCCAGCCCTAGCTATACAGTGAGTTCAAGACCAGCCTTAACAGCATAGTGAGACCATACTGGCCATAGTGAGAAAATCCATATTGATGTGGGTAAGAGTTTAGATTATTCCGTGTTACTGATTGGTTTAAACACATGTTTACTAAAAATGAGAGTTCTGGGGCTGAGGATTTAGCTCAGTGGCACAGTGACTGCCTGGCAAGTGCGAGATCATGAGTTCGATTCCCGGTACTGGAAAAAAAAATAAAAATGAGAGTTCTATACAGTAAGTAAAATACAGCCTGATAGAATTTCCTTTGGATCTTTTTGAGAGGAAAATAATTGCCAGCAATTGGTTAGCCATTGAGATTTAGAATTATCTTTTTTTTTTTTGTAGTACTTGATCTTGTTTAATTATCACAGTAACCTTTTGAGGTCAGGTTTATTATAACTTTAATTTTAGAGATGAGGTATTCAGGCTTGAAGAAGCTGATGTACAAATAGGGTAGGAAAGATCTGCTTTCCAAACCCGTGTTCTTTTATCTAAATCATTTCATAAGGCTGTTACTAAAGGAGTGGTCTGATAAAATAGCAAGAGCAGCAGGTAATGAGGGCGTTCACAGACACATTGTGCTTGCGGGGATGCTACCTGACCACTGTGAATATCACTTGGGAAAACTTTCTCACCCTAACCAACCTCTTGTATTGTGGTGAAACTAAAACCAAAGCGTGTAAAAGCATTTTGAAAAGGTCACCATACAGAAAAAAAGTAAAACATTACATAATTCCGTGGCTTGGAACTTGACTTTCAAATAGTATAGGCAATTCCCTTAAAGCTTTGCTTAAAATCCTCATTTACTTGGTAAAAACAGCTTTCACAAACAATGGGAAAAAAGCTTCAGCTTTATGTGGCCATAAGTCTATAACATTCTACATATACTAGGAGAACTATTTCATTAGTAAACTTATTTTAATATAATGTATTAATATGTCCCAGTATCATAGTATTAGTTATTTTATAGAGGCTTTTATTTTGAATATAATTATGTGCAAAATTTGTAATTTCCTTATAAATGTAAATTTCTTCCTCATAAATATGAGGTTTGATAAAAATACAGTGAATATTTAAATTAAAGATTACTACAGTAAAAGATACATTCTCATTAATCCTCTCAAAATACTACTCACTGTCAGCGTACATATCCCATTATTCTTGTCACTTTCTGAAGCAGTTCTGGAAGTCTACTTTCATGAGTGTCTACTTGCACTATTAGGGCGGCCTCAATGTTGAAATAATTACCTTTGGTTATAACTTTGACTTTGGGGTAGAGCCAAAAGTTTCATGGTGTCAGGTCTATGGAATAAGGTGGATGAAGACAATTAATATTTTTATGAGCCTGCTTTTTCACTGGATGGCATTTGGCAGCAGCATTAACCATATTTTTAATCATACCTTGTAAAGACACTGATAAAGGAGGATCTCTAGAACTGCTTCAGAAAGTGGCAAGAATGATGTGATAAATGTATTCAAATGAAGAGGAGTGTTTTGAGGGGAGTTAATGGCAATCTGTCTTTTACTATACTACATTAAAATTTAAACATATACCATATTTTTTTATCAACCCTTTTATATTCAAATATACTGAAGTCCTGCTTAGGTAAAAATGGCCTGCCTGTGTCAAATAGGCTAAATTTAGTACAAATTAGTAGTTACTACCTAAAATGCACTACCTCTCAAAAACTTGTGTAAATATATACATTGGTGGAGAAAATTCTAATTCAGGTAAATAAAGAATAATCCTCTGTGATGTAAATCAGTCATTCTCTCAGTCAAAAATAACACGTCAGGGAAAATGTACATGACCTGGTGAGAACAGGCCACTTGCATATCCATCAGTCCCAAAGACCGACAGGGTACTAGATGTCACAGCCAGATTACCCTCACTATCTCATCTAGGTAGGGATGAAGTCAGTTGATAGACTGAGTAGTGGGGATCTAGCATTTTATCATATTGAGTTTATTTATGATGGTTTACTATCCACCTATCCTGACAGGTTCTAATGGTCATAAAATAAAGATGTTATGGTTCTCTTCTGTTCCACATGGCTGGCAGTGTTACTGACATCTTCATGTTGTGCAGATACTATACCTTAGCTGAGTTCATCATAAGGAAACACAATTTCTGTGTGGAAGAAGGGGAGTCAGTGGTGGTCCTGATTTATTACTTGAGCAATGAGTTCATTATCCATGAAGAATGTCACTGTGCCTTTTATCTTCGGATCGCAGCAGTATTTTAGCACTACCCATCAAGCTTGTCGTCTATAATAGAGGGCTGTTCAAAGGCCTCACTAGGGAGGCAAATGTGTCTGGAAATTCCTTTCATGGTGATTTATCTCACAGCAAATGAATTTCATTTCTAAATCTAACATGACCAGAGGCCTTCATGGAGTCTAAAATCACCCCAAGAGGAACGTTAGACCTCTGGCTGGGAAAAAGGGCATCGTTTTCTCTTGAGGTGAAATTTGTGAACTGGGCTAGAACTGACAACAAAGCTGGAGGCTGACTTCAGTTGTTTTATGCAGGTGTGTCCCTACCTGTTTTCTCAAGCCTTTGCATTTTGATGTCTCTCTCTTTAATCTGGATAAAGCTGAAGTCTCTGGGTGATGTAAACTGACAGTCATTGACCTTTGGCAATGCTTAGCCAACATGCACTTTTCTGTCTCATCATGGGGAGGCTAGAGGTGCTGCTAAGTTGAGCAGAAGTTTTCAACAGCCAGGAATTTAGTCAGTACTTGGAATGAAATGAATAGTTTTATAAACAGCAAACATAAGAGGAATCAATGCAGAAGACCTATATTTTAGCTTCTTCAACCTATTCTTTGCCCCTAATGTAGTTCTCATTTTAGCTTGAAAATTTTAGTTTAAGTATTTGACCAAATTAAGAAAATTGATGATGTTAAATAATTGTAATGAGAATATATATTAAGTAATATTATTGATATTAATTGAATCAATTATTATGTATAAAAATTCTTATTCTTTAAGGGGAAATAACCTAATGTATATCTCCTAGAAGTCATATTTTGACTTATTATTGTTATTATTATTATTATAATTATTAGGTTGTACCAGGGATAGAATTCAACCCCAGCCTCTTTGAATTTAATTATTTATTGTGAGGTGGAAGCTCACTACACCTTTAAATTGCCCAGGCTGGTCTGGGACTTGGGATTCTCCTGCCTGAGTTTCTCAGAATGTTGGGAATACAGGCATGGGCCACCATACCTGGCTTTACTTCTTAGGTGTTGTGTTTTTGAGCTTATTTTTTTAGCATGAGTGAGACCTATAAAAGAAATTTTGTCTTTTTGAAATGAAGTTCTGAGAGCAATGGCAAACCCCAACAGATTTGTGATCTTCAAAAAAATTGTTTTAGATTGGTTTGGTTTAATTCATCATCTTTTTTCTTTGTAAATTTTTTTTTTTTTTTGGTTTTTCTCTGGTACCGGGAACCAAACTCACGACCTTGCGCTTGCCAGGCAGGCACTTTGCCGCTGAGCTAAATCCCCAGCCCTGTAAATTTTTTATTAGTATGTATTTGCTACTTGTCTTGGGGAGTTGGTACATTTGCATATTGCATCTTTATCCTTTTTACTTCCCCTTCCCCTCCGCTCTCTCCCGTTCTTCCGTCTCTAGATCCCCTTACCATTTGCAAAAGGTCTACCTCCCTATTTCTTCTCATCTTTTACTTTCCTGGTTTCAATGCATCATTCTTTTAAACTGAGCATTTACTAGCTAGGCTGAACCAAGGAAAAAGTTAGATGCCTGCTCTAAAGAAAGCAAGAGCCATAAATATATATGCTCTTACACTCCTGTGTGGTCAAAAATTTATAGGAAGTATATGAAGTCTCCCATCGTAATATTATACTCCAAAGTCTGAGAATCATATGAGCACTTTAAATGCATATTATTATTTTGCATTGTATGTACTTGCATTTTTCATCATGCTCCATTAGTATATGTTTGCAATAAATAATTACATTCATCTTAGGGAACTGGTACACATACATATTACATCTTTTTCAGCTACTTTTTTCTTTCTTGAGACATAGTATCAGATTCTCAAAGTTAAAAGAGGAAAGGTTTATTATAGCTCACAGTTTGTAGAGGTTACAATTCTTAGTTAGCTGGTTCCACAACAGGGCAGCATGGCAGACAGGCATCACAGA